TAACTATAATTCAAGGGTGTGAAATGGCAGCCCCTAAATTATTCTACTCAGGCTACTTAGAAGCAGTGAGTCCAGAAAGAGGGAGATTAGAGGTCTCCTATATTAGAGACTGCCCTGGCTAGATCACATCTGGATTATAGTGTATAGTTCTAGTTATCACATTGTAGGAGGCCTCCTGATGCATTTGAACGTGTCCAGAAAACCAAATGCATTCAGCAATAATCTGCATTTTAGGAAAGCATTTGTTAAAGTCAATTGTGTTCTCACTATTAGCACAGTGGAAAGATTTGAGCTATCACAGAATAACGATAAGGATTCAGATTTGTAGTCATGAATGAGGCAGGATACATTTTAACATGAAATGAGGTCTCTGGTGAGTTGCACCAGGGATCTGTGCTTGGCCTTGTACTACTTAATATTCTTATCTCTGAAAAAAGGCATATATGTATTCATATATGTATATGTATATATATATGTGTACATGTATGTAAGTATGTACATATATATATATCCTTGTGAAATTTGCAGATGACACAAAGTTGGAAGAGATAGTACAGCTACCATGATCAGAATGCGACAAGTTAGAGTCCTGAGCTGAATCTAATAAAATGGCATTCAGTAAAGATGAAAACAAAATTTTGCACAAGTTCAAAAAATCAATTTCGTACCACAGAGTAGGGGATGCATGGTTAGATAGCAATTTTTTTGGACAAAATTTTGGAGATTTGAGTGGACTGCAGGGATGTGAACTGATGAAAGCCATCCATGAATATTTGAAGGGCTATCATGTGAAGGAGATTAGACTTGTGTAACTTGATCCTGGAATGCAGAACCATGGCATTAGAGAAAGGGTATGTGTGTGTTATATAAAGCAGATTTGATACAAGGGGAAAAAATCTGCCAGTCAGAGCTGTTTAAAAATAGAATGGGGTGCCCTAGCATGGCAGGTATTCTCTCAACAGGGGCTTTCATGCAGTGGCTTAATGGTCATTTATTAGGGATGTTGTTAGCAAAATTTCAGCATATACCAGATGACTTTTAAGGTCTCTTTCATTCCTGGATCCTATGGTCTACTCCCCTTCCCTGTGGTCAAAGTTTTAGTGGAATGATATCAACTTCTGTAAATTAACAATAAAAAGAGATTGTAAAGTTTTGTATGCAGGGAATAGGGACAGGATTCTATCCTGAGTGTTGATAAATATGGATTATTGAAGTCACCACTCAGGGCTAGTTTGGATTTCTTTGTATTGTATCTTCTCCAGCATCTGCTCAATTCCCTGTGTTGGTCTGGGTAACTCAGTGGTGAATTCAACCATGAGTGATCTTTTCATGGTAACTTGGTGCAAACAAGAATAGAAATTTATTGATTTGCAATAAAAACTATACTTAAGAAGGAGTGTTTTGTAATGGATAGAAGACTAGGCTTGGAATTAGGAGAACCTAGGTTTGACTCCTACCTCAGACAATTATTAGCTGTTCAACCCTGGGCAAACCATTAAACTTTTCCAGGCCTCAGTTTTTTCATTGTAAAATTGGGGGATGGGACTGATTTTGCTAACTTTTAAGGTGTCTTCTAGCTATCATCTATAACCCATGATGTTCTTACTGCCCTAGGCAACTTGCAAAAATTAAAAATTACAGAGAATTTACTATGTATCCATCATCCCTAAAGGAAATATATATGTATGTATGTATGTATGTATATATGTGTATATATGTATGTATGTATGTGTATATATGTATGTATGTATGTATATATATGCATATATACATACACATATATATCTTAAAAAACCAAAAAAAACCCAAGTCAAATCAAATCATCAATTTGATTATGCAACAAATTACCTTCCTGTTCCCTGACAAGACCTCCCCTCCTTAGGAAGATCATAATGAAGAAGCCCTATTAATGATCCAGTCCTGGTGAGAATGGAATTCAGAGACCATGGGGTTAGTAATCTTTTCTTTTCTTTTGAATTAGATTAGTTTGTGATGGATCACCTTGCCCCAGTCTAGGGCAGGATATCTGTCCTGAAAACCATACTTGTGTAAACTAAACATTCTCCTTGAGATGATATCTACCAACTATGGATGCATTACCTATGCTCTTGTTGCAAGATTCCAATTGCACAAACAAACCATCTAATTTTCATCACTTCATCTCATTTATTGAAGGTCTCACTTCTGTCATCATTTCACTTCCACATTCTCAAACATGTTCAAAGCCAATATTTTACACATCTCATCCCTGGGTTTAGTGTTTCCCTTATTTCTCTGTATCATTCACATTCTCTTTTGCTATAGGTATGCTGATATATGTGGAAGTGCAATGCTAATTTATGCAGACTTTCCTCTTGACTACAGATACATCTCATTTTCACCTATCAAGGATAGAGTACTAATTTATGCTGACCAGAGTCAGAGAATTTCTTCTTAACCTTTCCTATCTTCTTTTTTCTACATGATTCTTTGCATCTATAAGCCTCTGCCCACCCAGAATAATCAGCATACAGAACATTATCTTTGATGACAGGAAGTCTTATTATCAAAAAGTCAGACTTCGCAAAATGTTAGAACTGAAAGGCACCTTAATCCAGTCCACTCCCTCATTTTATGGATATCAATGTATGGACGGCCTGAGAAGTTAAACTTCTAGGTCAAGATTACAGAGGTAGTAATAAGTAGAACCAAGATTCAATTCCAAGACCGCTTATTCCAAATACAACACTATTCCTACTATATCAAGTGGCTTTTTCTTATAGGGTAAATTTGCTTCCGTGAGGATACACACAATCATGAATAAATTTAACTTACTATAGATTTAGCTATCACATCGTAAAATGTTTTTCATTTTGAAAGGGAAAATGGCATTACTGGTAAACATGTATAGGATATATTCATTTTTAATCTCTAACTTATATCCTTAATACCAAGAATATGTAATGCTATTTAAAAATATTTAATCTTTTTTACATGCTTTTTTTTCACAGTTCAAATAATTAAAGAAAGAGGTCATTAGAATATAAAAATAAGTGGACTCTTTTTACATTCTGAAATTACAACAATATAGAAAAGTATCTCTCCCTCCTTCCATATTCCCCCAAGAGTTTAAAAAAGATCAGTGTTATCTCTCATTTTTTTTCCCCTCAGGGGTGGAGGGGGACCTTCAGAAGTAAGTATTTTTCAGCTTCTTTTGTCTCTGCATGAACCAAGTTTGATAGCTTGGGACTATAACGTATTACTGTGGCAACCTTCGGTCTGTTACATAAATCATCTGAACATTCAGCAAGAACTGTCCAGCAGTGACATTCATGTGCTCAATCCAATGATCCTGCAAACAATTTTTTTGTCTTTCTTCACATGTTAGACAATGGCAATAAATCACATTCATTTATAAAAATACACAATGTACTAATTTATCAAGCAACAGTTATCAAAATATATGATTGTAGAAGGTACAACTTTTGTTTCGTTGTGTACATCAATTTTTCTTTCTCAGGTTAGGCAAAGGGCAATGCCTCAAGAAACCATTAATTTTCTGACATGACATTCATTCACTCAATAGATATTTACCCAGGCCTACTGTGTGCATGGCCATGTGTGGAAAAAATAAAATCATAAAAGGAGGTATTCTGGAAAGGTGCCACAAAGTTCAGGTGATAGCAGGATGAGGTGGGTAAAGGTTATCTGGAAGCTAGAGATCAGGCAGACCTGCAAGGGATGAGGCAGCCAATTGGAAAATGTCCAAGGGGAAATTTTAGCTTTTACTTAAAATTACATTTTATTGACTCCAAAGCACAAAGGGGGATTTTCTTCAGAGGGTTGTTGTCTAGGGACAAAGCTTCCCTATGAAATCTATTCAAAAGTTTATTTAAAGTGTCCTCTTGTCTACCACGGTCAAGTTCAGGATTTCCAATAGTGCTTTCTCTCCTCCTTTCTATATACTGTCTTCCTTTGTTTCCTTCTATACTTATCTCAAATTCTACCTTCTTCAGGAGGACTTTCCCAGTGACTCCACTATTACCAGTGTCTTCTCCCTGAAATTGCTTCCCATTTGCACAGCATTTATCTTGCGTATATAGGGTTGTCTGCAGGTTGATTTCCCCACTAAAATGTGAGCTTCTCAAGTCAGGGAACAAGCGTTTTCCCTTTCTATTCCCTGTGCTTAGCACAGCACCCAGCACATAGTAAGCAGATAACCAAATCTTGGGAACTGACTGACTGAATTGATCTGACATATGTTCTTGTTACATCTGAAGCTCAGTGCAATGGACATCAATCATAACCACAGACTAATGGCTTAGAGCCATGAGTATTCTACTAGGATTAATTACTCAGAGTCCTATGTTCAAGCTTCTTTTCCAGAGTTGCTTCCTTATCCTCTGTGAATCTGTTATCATTTACTAGGGTTTCCCTACTGGGGAGGTAGGCATCTTAGACAACCTTGTCATGTGGACAAAGTCCAGGTACTGTGACAAGTTTATTCACAGTGAAAGATGAGCTCTCTGCAGCAAGGGCTTGGGCCATGGCCATGACTGATGTCAGGGGTAAAACCCCCATCACGGGAATTCATTGTTTTGTCACAGCAAGTGATCAATTTCAGGGGTTCTGGAATATTATATATGGATAGATAGGGATTTTCAAGCAATAAGAGGATTTAGAGCTAGAAGAGATCTCAGAGATCAACTGGTCTGACAACTTCATTTTACAGAAGAGGAAACTGAGGCCCACAGATATTAGGCAACTTGCCCTTGCCACACTGATGCCATTCCTCCCCCACCCCCACTAAAATTAATTTCTTACGGTCAGGGTCTATTTCTTTTTTTTTTTTGTCTTTGTATCCATACCACTTGGGCACAGTGCCTTGTTTATAGTGGGTGCTAAGTCAATGGCTTGAAACTAAGGTCAACAACTGGTGAAAGGCTTATCTGGGAATCCAACTCAGGTGTTCAGATTACCAATTTCATGTTCTTTCCATAACACACTGTGTTACTATTCAGGGACCTGGAGTTACCATGTACTCAAAACAATTGGAAACTATTCCTGGTTATGACTCTGATGAATCCTTGATCTTGTTGGTGTGAGTATGCTATATACCTTTGTAGATTTTAACTTATCCATGTCTTCTCATCTTAGGCAGTACTTGTCCATGTCTCCTTCTGTAAATCCTAAATAGATATTCTACCCAACACAATGAAAACCTTCCTCTGGCTTTTATTATTCTTTAATAGCATATAAATACCTCTGCCGCACTTGGGTCATTCACAACCAGGGAGTTGTTGTAACACATATATGTAAATAGTATTTTGGCCCAAGGTACATATGTTAATGGGATACAGGAGGATCTGATTTCTGCTTCCTACTACTAGAGCAAGTTATCTGCTTAGGTAACATGGACAGAATGGACAACACATCTCACTTATTTCTAATGATTAGTGGGTCTGGGCAGTGGTTGTCTATCTTCTTGTCCAGAGTCTAAGACATTTTGAAGATCAAAATGCTTTCAAAACCAGGGGTTGCTTAGAGAGGTGAGTCATACCAGAGATGACAAGGACCCAGAGATAAGAAAGACCTTGCAAGGTGGGAAAGGAAGGAGGTACTGGAGGAGGTACAATCAGTAAGCAAAAGGAAAAAGTCCAGGTGAGTCAAGGAGGTTCCAGAAAATTGCAACAGGCAAAGATCAAGGCAGGTGAGTGAGACACTGTGTCTGTGGGGTCCAGTAGTGGTCTGTCTATCTATCTATCCATCCATCTATTTATTCTGTTATCTCTCTTTCTCTCTCTGACCCTATCTATAACTAGATAACTACTGCGACCCATTCCAACTCTCCAGTTCTATGATTTATATTCCATTGTATAACATGGTACCTACTTACTATCTCTATAACCTTTGCCGACTTGTTTAACTTACCTGGATCTTCTCTTACATACATGTACACACAGATACACATACATTCAGCTAAAATTAATCTGTAATCTCATTACTGAAGATGTGCAGATTTAACTATATATATATATATAAATGCATATATACATACATGAATATGCACGCATGTAATTATGTATGTGTGCATGTGTGTATATATATGTATGTACATATATAATATGTTAAAAGAACTCAAGACTTGAGGGAGTAAGTACCCCAGTTTGTGGGGAGTACATCCATTGCAATGAACTTATGGGAGGACATGAATAAGAATATAAAATTGTGTGTGTCTGTATGTTTGTGTGTGTGCGCAAGAAGAGGTCCAGATAAGTTAAACAAAGGTTATAGAGGTAGTAAGTTGGTTCCGCGTTATACAACAGAATTGGATACACAGAATTTGAGAGTTGGAATGGATCTCAGGAGCTACCTAGTCCAATCCATATATGAAAGGAATCCTTACTATACCATACCTGACAGATGTAATATATGTATAATATATATTCATATATATTCACATACAATATATACTATATGTACATAGAATCTTACAATATAAATAGGAAATTAACACTGAGCAAGAGAGGTAACTTCATAGAGTTAAAAGGCACATTCTTCTGTTTGGGTTTCCCTCTCACCCTGATTCAAAGATTTAGAATGAAATACAATTCTCTATAACACACTGTGACAAATAATTCTTATTCTTCTACTAGGGAGCACCTAAAATAGACCCAAAGGTGAAGAGGATTCTGCACTATTAAGTATATTGGCTCTAAAGTAAAGAGGAGGTTCAGAGAAGAGACCAGATGTAGAAACAGGTCCAGGAAAAGATAATTTTTCTAGTTTAATAAAGAGAGGCAGGATCGAAAGAGGGTAAGTTTTGGAATTAGAAAGACTTGGCTTAAAGTCCTACCTGATAAATCAATTTATCAGTGCCCTAGGAAACTATTTAAGACTACTTATTACAGACAAGTTGCTAATCTAGATGATTGGAAGAAGTTCCCTCTACCCATGATGTCCAAAGCCTAGACCAAAAAAAAAAAAAAACAAAAAAAAACTATGGGAGGTCTCAATCAATATTCAGGAAGTTTAGGTCTTGAAATCTGATCCTGTCACAATAACAGATAGGATCAATCAGGGAGAAGGGCATGCTTAGAGAGTATATACATCATGTGATCCTAGAGAGTGTTAGGATCTTTTGGGAAGGGATGGAGGGAGAGAAGGAAGTAAAGGACAGAAAAAGTAAAGGAAGGAGACAAAGAAGGCCAAGATTAGAAGGAATGGAATCATAGGCATACCTAAGAAAAGAAAGAGGAACTGTAAGTTATAGGAAAGGAAGGAGTAGCAGAGGAGGGGTTGGACAAAGAAGGAAGAGACAAGCCACAAAAGAATGGCAGCCTTAGAAGTTAATGAGACAAAGAGATAATAGCACCCTTTTGCATTTTCATAAAGTTTTCATTGTTTTCAAAGTACTTTCCCACACCTCACTAGATTCTCATAGAAACACTAAGAGGTAAATCAAAAGAAGAGAGAATAAAGTGAACAATATGGGGGATTTGAAGTAAATGTTTTCAAGTTTAGCCCATGACTTTGCTTGTTGAAAAACTGGATGTGAGACCTGACTTGTTATGACAGTAAGTTCTAGAAGAAAAGGTGAAAGAGTAGTCCATTCACCTTGTGACCACATATTTCTAATTTAAACTCAAGCCAGGCCAAAACAGGCTGACTGTATTTAGTGGTCTCTACTGACATCAGTGAAAAGAAACTTATAGGAAAGGGATCTGTGTGTCCTGTGTAAATACATTTACTATCAAAACTTACCCTTTTTACTGATTACATGAAATATCATATGTAAAACACTTTGTAAACCTTATAAAGTCCTACATAAATGCTAGCTATACTAATAATTATTAATATCATTGCTATCATCACCATCATTATTGTTCTTATCATTATAATTATTACTTTCAATTGTGTCCATGTCAGCCTAACAATTCATTCCTGGGCAGACCTCCAGAAATCACCCCTTTGGATTTGCTACATAGAGAGTCAATTGCCACTGTTTATAAACAAATGTGACAATTCACTGTCATTGAAGTAATTTGTCTAACACCACTTCAAAGCAAATTCTCCCAAGAAACCACCAATGCATTTTCAAGTTACTATGAATTCCTTGGGTTAGAATTCTACAACCAAGCTATTAATTTCCTATTTGTGTAACCTTAAACCTTAATCACTTAACCTTTATGGGAGTTTCTTAATCTATAAAATGAGAAGATGATCTCTATTGTGTCTTCAAGCTCTAAATTCTGTCATCTTATTATATTAAAAATAATACTTCCATTATTCTAGCATGTCTTATCTGATTTTAAGGACAAATGAGTGAAGCTTCTGTCTAAAGAGAAGAATGGAGACATCACATGAAGAGAGAAGCTCAAGTATCTTCTTTGGTGAAGAAGGAAGACAGTGTTTCAGGGCAGAGAAAGATGGGAGGTGACAGAGTTACCTTAAGAAGACCCTTTAGGAATCTCCATTTTCACATAATTAAAAGGGAAAAAACAATTCATCCCTGCACACCAAGAAGGGGTACTGATGACACATTATTTATTAATATCTTTCAACTCCTTGGAAATGGAGACTGCACAGAGAAGTAGAATCATCCATCTTCCAATTATTTTGGATTTACTAAAGTGTTCCAATTCTCTGCTGTATTTATTGTTAGATACGTTCCATGGAAGGCCAGAAAGATGAAGTTGAAAAATGTGAGATTGCGAAATTAAGGAGTAAGGTTAATTTTTCATCTCTTTATCCGCTCATTCATTAAACATAGCTGAAAAATTTCTAAATTTAAGATTGTAAAGTAATAAAGGAATACTTTTCAAAATTTATCAAAACTACTCGCTGGCTGGGAGGGGTGAGATGCCAACATGACATCCTTGGCCAGGTGCTCATGTGTTTCAGCAGGCCTTGAAGAGCTGCTGCTGAAGCAACAGTCTTACTTTCAAACCGATGCTCTACAATTCAGATTTTTTTAAAAGAGAATTTATCAAGGAAACATATTCTCCCTAATGCTTGAAAAACATACTACAAGACAGTCCCAATAAAATTCTTAAGCATATTCAGCAACAAATATTTATATTCTGAAATAAAAAATGAGCCTTACACTCACAAATCCCACAGTTTGGAAATGTATATGATACACAACATTTAACCTGTCAGCAGCCTCATTAGTGTCATTGACTAGGATCTGGCAATCAGTAGATGGTGTGTTCTACATGTGTTTACATTTTAAAATGCTCTTAAAATAGCTCCACTATGGAGCTACATAAAGCAATGGACAAATGGAATTCAGTTTAAACCTGCAGATGTTCCCCAAATCTTCTCTGAATTCAATTACCCTTCGAGGAGACCATGTAAAGCAAAAAGATTCAGTATTAAACTTGTAAATAAAAGAAAGGCAGAGTGGGGGTGGGGGGAGAATCTTCTGAATATTAACACCAATATTTAAGCAATATGAGACAAATATGCTAAAAGATTGGCGGGCCTTTTAAAGTCACTACACTCTTATGGCAAGTATTCCTTATTTGGATCGTACCTGTTATAACTGTCTATACTGGCTATTAAGGCATTTTTATAAACTGCGAGAAATATGTGAGCTATTACAAGATATAATTCTGAAAAACAGACTTCTATGTAAGAAGCCAATTTAGGAAGAAAACAACATAAACAATAGTAACTTGTGTGCTCAAGTGAAGCATCTTTTTAATTTTGAGTAATGAAGATGTCAAGCCAAATGCTAGAGTAGTTTAACTTAATTAGGTGGCCTATTTTTCCAAGCAGCCTTTCATTTCCCATTGAAAACTCAGCTTGTATGCAAGGCAACAAGAGTAATTTTGTCTGTAATGAATACCTCCGGGATTGCACAGAGTAATCATTTGAATGTTACACTGAAGACTGGTTTGAGTAACTAGTTTGGGCTTGTTGAGATGCCAGACTCTGTTAGACTAACTAGATTAATCAAAGCATGGCAGTTTTATCATTTTATTGGGTCAAAGTTCACAAGGTCAAGTCGGTGTTCCTTCTGGAGCCTCTGCCAAAAGGAAGGTTGTGTTAATTTGTAGTTCAAATTCATGATCATAGATGTGTTATGGACCAAAA